TCTGGTGGTTTTGATAGGTATCAAGAGGAGAATGGCTAGTTAAAGGTTTCTTTTTCTGCTGTGAAAAAATTTCTATTTACAGGTATGAATATTAAATTAAAGGGGGTTTTGTTTTGTTTTTATCTTTATTTTTGACTAAACACATCTTCTCTGCTGCTGGCAAAAATTTGAGCATTGTCTCTTTCTGACCCAATAGGTATAAAACTTACCCAAAAAAAGATCAAAGAAGTTCCCAAGAGTTTTCATTACTCTGATAAGGAGCTAGAGGAGGAAAGGCATGGAAGTCTGAAATATCCTTTCATGACTCCTCAGAATTGCTTGCGTTTTACATTTATCTTAGTTTGATTTGACTTGCACTAACAGTCACAATCTTAAAAATAAACAAAATAAAAAGTCCAAAACATAATTTAATAATGTTCCCAGATAAAAACAGCATTTATCTGTAGGGTACTCTCTGCCTTGTATCAGGGTGGACCTGGTGACATATTGAGCACTATCACCAGCATTTCTCTCTTCAGCTGGGAGACAGTCAGTTCAGTTACTGGCTGGAACAGGCTTCTCTGGGAAGTGGTGGAGTCATCATCCTTGGAGGTATTTAAAAGATGTGCAGATGTGGCACTTGGGGACATGGCTGAGTGGTGGATTTGGCAGTGTCAGGTTAATGGCTGGACTTGATGAATTTAAGGATTTTTTCCACCTTGAATGATTCTAAACCTTAATAATGCCATGATTTTTGATTGACATAAAAAAAAAAGCTAGAAATCTAAAGGAACAAATGAACTGTTTTCCAAGTCAATGCATGAAAATTAATACTCAGGATAAACAGAGCAATACCTGTTTTTCTTGTGCAGCAGATATTCATTGCATCAATTCTGTGAAAGGTGCATTTGTAAAAAGTGTAATTTCAAAGAGAACAAGACTCTATTCTGTGAAAAATGTTAATAAATTCTAACCTCATGCAAAAATGGGTGCCAGCCAATTTAACATGGTTTTTATTAAAACAAAAAAGCAATTTAAAATTTCATTTTTGCTCAAAAATAATGTTAGTTGTGGAAGACCATTGTCAACAAGCTCTTATCTAACTTTCTTCCCAGACAATTTGTTTTGAGATAAAATTTACATAAATGCTACTGTTACTATTAGTCAAATATGCAAGTAAAAAAAAATCTAGGCATTCTGGTTTATAATGGGTATCAACCCTCAAGATTGCAGTGATTTACATAATTACCATAAATGCACTATCAGTAACTAAATTTCAAGCCCTGTGTTACTCTCTCAGTTCCTATAATCTTCTCTTTTACTTTACTGGCTCCTATTTTTAGACTAATCAAGAAATTTTCAAGTAATGATAAAGCTGCACTGACTTTTAGCTTTGGGTTTTTCTGAGCAAAGCAGAAAAATTAATGATTTCATAGAAGCAGATAATTACACATGTTGTGTTTGTCATTGAATCCTTGCTGTTGCACACCACACACCTCTCCTTTCTATGTTTTTACAAGCAACATGTAAAAAGCAGTTAGGGTTTCTTCCCCCCCAAAAGACTTGGAGGGCTATTTGAGAACTTTGTAGCTCCACTGAAGAATTGTCTTGTTTTCACCTTAAAATTAATGTTTATGTTTTGTGTATGTAAGTACTGCATTAAAACCAGTCTTAAATAAATCAGTTTTGATCACTACTGCTCAAATGCATTTAGCTAGTCTGGTCCTTTGTTATCACAGACAGATTGTTAGGTGTCTTTCATAAAAGAGCTGCAAAGGAGGGAAAAAAGTCCCTCCAAAGCAAAGAATCAGACTTTTGCAGAGTCTGAAAAAAGGAAAATTTGCAATGTTCCATCCCTCTTTTCCTGTGCTGTCTGCCATTTCTTTCCATGCAAGCCCGCTTTGCTTTTGTCTCCAAAAGAAGAGCTGTACCTCAGCATTTCCAGGAGTGGTGTGCACTCGGAGATCATCACTTTCCTTCCTGCTGTGAGGATACAGCACAAGGAAACAGTACTGAAACAGAAAGTCATCTTCTGGCTAGATGGGGTTTGTATTGAAGTATATTGCTTCCAAATGCAACTCAGTCTTTTCCCTGCTGAAAGATGTTCCTGGAGAAATCAAACCCTCTCCATTTTTAGCTTCAGACCTCCCATCAAACAATGGAGCATGAATTCCTACACTCCTGAGAGCTTCCCAGGTGCAGTTTAGTTTGGTTTGGCAGGAGGGATCTGGCCTCAGAACAGTGAAAGGAAGTCAAAGCTTCTTGAACCTGCTAACACACTGGAATGTTTTCTGCCACAGATGATGATGGTTTCACTTTCAGACAGCAGAGGACTGGAAGACTGGAGAAAACTCAGTTCAAAAAAGCTGTACTGACAGCTCTTTCAGACTACAGAGGGCAATAAAGTACACAGAAATCATGCTGCTCTGGGTCATTGGAAACTGACTGAGCCACTGTAGATACACTGTGTGCAGGTGGGTCCCACAGTGCAGGCCTTCAATTCCAGAATTCTTTTCTATATATGAATTTTCCAATGCTGCTAGTACTCAGTGACTGTTCAAGAGACTCAGTGTCTGCAGTGGCAGACTGGTGACAAAGTTTTATGCTGCACTAGGAGAGAAAACCCAAGTCTTGCCTGGGATGCATGTCCATGGCCATTTAAAAGCAGGGAGTCAGCTCAAACTATGAGCTGCCTCACATCTTGTGCGTCACTGGTGATGAACATCATTTATTATGCTATCTCAATGTGCTAACTAACTTTTGCTGCACATCCAGCTCTGATTTCAGATGGCTGAAGTCCAGATTTTAGACCACGAACTTAAGTAAAACTTGAACTATTTAAGACAGAAATTTTAATATTTGCACTCCAATGAATTATCAGGCAATGAGGTCACATAACCTATCTGTTTCCTGAGAACTGAGTTCCTATTGAAAACAATCCAAACTTTGAATTGAAAATTTAATTTCCAATCAAAGATGTAGTGTTGGAGCATATCCTTGGCAGAAAGCTCTATTTTAGCATATTTGAAAACACCTTTTTTGTTTGACTGTGTTCACACAGAGTTTCTACTAAATGGAATTAAAAGTGCTTTTCCAATTTTAGCCTTGCTCTATTTCTGCCACCTCTAACAAATAACTGAAGTATTCCTGAAAGACAGAAAACCCATTAGGCTTGAATCCTCAGTTAAGAAAATAAAATTCAAAGAAATTGTTGTTTGGTTATATTTTAGATGGGTTCTTCAAGTAGACATATGAAACACTTATTAATATTCCAGATTTTCTTATCTTTTACAGGGCTTGCAAGGGTTGCAGGATGAAGAGAGAGGCGAGAATGTTGACCTCATGTTCAGAAAGCTTGATTTATTATTTTATGATATATATTACATTATAACTACACTAAAAAGAATAGAAGAGGAAGTTCTCAGAAAGCTAGCTAAGCTAAGATTAGAAAAGGAATTAATAACAAAGTTCTGTGTCCTGGCAGAAAGTGAGAACAGCTCTGCCATGAGTGGCCAGTAAATCCAAACATCCACAGGAGACCAATCATGGATCCACCTGTTGCATTCCACAGCAGCAGATAACCATTGTTTACATTTGTTGCTGAGACTTCTCAGCTTCAGCAGGAAAAATCCTAACGAAAGAATTTTAACGAAAAGATGTCTGTGACACTTATCCATATTTCTAGTCAGGCCAGTACATATCTTTTATAATCTTATTACTCTGCTGGGACTTCTCCTCGTAATTAACTTTCTGAAGTAATTCTTAAATGCAGTCTTTTATTTACTTCCAGTCGCTATGAGATGACATCCTGCCCTTTAGCCGCAGTATTTGATACACATGGCTATTTTTTAAAAATTATGCATAGCTAAAATGAACCAATCTGTTGCTTTTTAATATCCAGCTCAACAAGGCAGTGAGTCAGTGCCCGTTCATTATGAGTGGAAGATGCACAGCATGAATGAACAGACATTCAGCTTCCTGGCTCAAGCTCTAAATAAATAAGGTACACTTTTGGGTTTTTATTTTGGCAGGTTATGTAAAATGTATGAGTACTTTATTCCTGCAAACACCTGAATACCAAAGATAACAGCTTCACTGAAGAAGCACAGCTTTCTCCACATTCATCTCTCCACTGATTGACTGAAAAAAAAGCCCAGGGTTTTTTGACTCCAGGGGATCTCACTGAATAACTTTGGCTGAAATTTCTGGTTTCGATAACTAGCCTGGTGTGGATATGTGGCTGGGTTTGGAGGATCTGGGTTCACTTCCCTCACCTTTTGAAGCTGTTCCACCTTGCACAGGACATTTAACTGTTCAGCTAGGGAAGAGGAGGGAATCATCCGATGTACTGATGCACTTTTGGCCAGCCACACAGCTGGGATGTGGTCTGAACACAGGAGCAGGTACAGCCACAATGAACTGAGTGCCATGTGGATTGGCTGCCTGGCATGTCCTGCAGCCCTGCCACATCCCTGGTGAGATGTGCAGGTGGACAAACCAACCTTCTTCCCCTGGGAAACATCTCCTCTCTCCAGGGTGAAGGCTCCCTTGCTGTGCTGGTGGGCAACAGCCCTAGCACCTCCTCTTGGCAGGCTCTGTGACCACTGCTTTTGTTTAAAAGGCCTCAGATGGAAATGAAATCTTGTTCTTGGCCAGGAGGTTTCCCTCAACCCACCCCCAGGTTATTTTTTCTAATTTGGTCTATTTCCAAATGTTGGTGTTGATACTTACCCATGTTTCGCAGGGGACATAGAACCTCTTCACACAACAATGCAAAGACCATTCTTCAGACCATTCACAAAGATTTTGGCTATATCCAAACTGCAACAGTTTGCAGACAGGACTTAAATGATTTTGTATGCAACCATTTTGGCAAGCCTTTTCTGACTGGATTTTACTACAAACATGCATATTTGGAAGAACTTAAATATGAATTAGTAAATTCTGATAAGAAAAGTACAAGAAATACTCCAAACAAACAAAACATACAGTGTAAGGAAAATTTCACAATCTTTACTTACTTTCTTTGTTTTGTCCATTGCCTTCAGTATGGTTATGTTTAAGTCTTCCAAGACAGATAGAACATTTTCATACTCTCCTAAGTGCTTTGAAAAATAATCTAAAAGAAGAAAAAACCTCACATCACCTACAAATGTCCTCAAAAATCAGTGTCTCATTAAATATCAGCTTTATCAAATCTGAATTAAGTTACAGCATTATTGAATATCTAAATGCAAAATGAGAAGGAGTTACAATGAAAAGGATCATTTTCTTTTTAAATTTTGTATTCTCTCTCTGTAAAATCATTCTTGGCATACTTAAAATACCAAAAACAGTATTTCAAAACTTTTTCTTTCAATAAATGATCTGTCAAAATCACAAAAAATGTAAATATCATTTTGACAGATGAAACAAACTTATTTTCAAAATATCTACATCTTCTTTGTAAATTGAAATTTCAGTCTAATAGTCTTCAATTACTAGCAACAAATGAAGTTTTCATATGTATGTGGTGAATTTGATTATATTGATATGAAAATGAGTAATTCTGGTAGAGCCCTTAGAGGAGATAATATCAAGGGGCGGCTGTTGTGAGGCAGAGTTGGTTGAGAGCAGCTGTTTCTCTGAGAAATTAAGAGACCATGAGTTGGCCAGATAAGCTTCTAGTCCCAGATGCTGTGACATTTTCAAACAAATACAATGCATGCAAAATTAATTTTAATGAAAATCATGGAAATAACAAGTTGTGTAGCTTCTCAAAGCAAAGGACTTCTTAACAGAAAGAGCTGATGTAAAATCAGAGGGATTACAGCAAGAGGAGGAAGCAAACCTGGGAAATGATGACCCGAGTTCCCATTTGGTTGATGTGGTGAAATACAATAGAGGGAAGCACAGGAAAGAAGTAGTGTGAAAAATAAATAAATAAAATTTTGTTAAAGCTTAGAGACTGTGTTAGACAAGGCATTTAGACATCAGATCACCTGGAAGAGCACAAAAATCAACATCTAAGTGGCAGACAGGAAGAACAAGGTTAGATAGGAGCTTTTTGGAATAAATAGCAACCCTTCAGGGCTTTTAAGAGGTCAGCATGAGCTTCTCAGGGGAATCATGAAAACATAAGTTACCAGGAACACTGTGATATGACCTCATATTGCTGAGAGTTTGAATGAAATTATTTAGAATTAAAATGTATTGTTGATTAGTACCCTGGATGTTTTTTAGCTTCATTTCTGAGATGAACTCATATAGCTCAGAAAGAGCTGTATAATCACAAGCTTAAATATGGATTGAGTAAATTCAGTGCCAGATTTACAGATGAGAAACACCCTAGTGGCAATATTTGAAGGATTCAAAAAGGCATTTGAAGCAGCCTGTATTTAATCAAAACAGACAATAAACAGAGTCAGTGCTGGACTGACCCCCCCAGGCCAGCAAGCCTGTGTGACATCAGCTGCAGTAAATCCCATGTGGAACAAAACCACGTCTCTTCCTCAGCCAGGTTTGTACAATTTTGGCCAGATGCTCAACCAGCAGAAATTGTCACAGCCCAGTTCACTTCAGATAAGCCTCTTGTCACATATTTATAAACCACAGGGTGAGGTGGTTTTTAGGGGGTTCTTGGCCATGTCACCCTGTGGGTGAGTAAATGAGCTGGTATTCAACTTGACAATGTGTTCATCTCTTAAAGCTCTTCAACATTGCTGACCACTGGAAAACTTATCAGGCTGCCATGTTTCCCTCAGAAACTGTCTGGTGTTGACAAGTAGGATTTTTTTTTCCTGACATATTGTGGGAGAACCTGCAGAAACATTTGTAAATTGTTTTCTGCTGCAAGAAGCACTCCTAAATCAGGTGCTGTTAGATAAGCTGGAGAGCAAACAGGGTGTTGGGGAAATGACTCACAGCTCAGAATGAGGTACAGAAACGGGTAATTGGGCCAAAATCTAGGCCTTGCAGGAGTTTTATTGTGACAAAGGATGATAGAGCTTGTCAAACTTGCTGTTCTCCCTGGCTCAAGTAGGAGGAAAGTAATGAATTTTCTTTTAGTGGAGGTATATGAGTGAATTTTCTTTTAGTGGGGGTATATGACAAGTTTTAAAGTGAGGAACTAACTAGAAAAGATATCTCACACTAAGGGGGAATAAAATACAAGTCATCTATCTATCTATCTATCTATCTATCTATCTATCTATCTATCCTTATGTCAGAACAGATCTTGAGTCTCAGAGAGTGTGAAATACTGATTAGGAAAAATATTTTCAAAGTAAATTCTGCACAAAGGGGATGATAGAGTCTGAAAAGATTATAAGCCATCTGCATTTTCCCAGGAGTTCTCTGAGTGGAAATTATTTTGTGTTTGAGCTACAAAGATTAAACAGAAAAAAATAATCACATGGCATGTTTATTTGCACAGGGCTGCTGCGGGCATAGATTATGTTCTTTCCCAAAAAAGAACTTACCACAGAGCCCTTCTGTGTCAAGATTGCTGAAAGATAAGAGTATAGAAGGTTAGTGAGGTTGGTAATGGTTTGGGGTTTTTTTGTTAGGGCAGAAGGCTGCAGCCTTACTAAAGCTGGCTGCAGGTTCGGCCTCCATTCCTGAGCCCATTCCCACTGGCACCTTCCTACTCACTGCAAGCTCTCTCAAGTTCAGCCTTTATGCTCCATGCTGCAGTTGCTGCTCCTCAGGCCTTACCCATTTGGCCCCAGTTCTTGCAGAAGTACATCTAAACACCAGAAATTTTTGGTTTGGCGTTTCTTCCTCCACCTTTCTGCCTGTACTCCCCTTCTGTGGCTGTCATGCTGGACAGCAAGGCTCAGAGATAGATATTGGCCTTCCATGCTAAAGGAGAAAAGAGCCAATAATTTTCTCTTGTTTGCAATCCTTGCTGTGCAATAGTGTTCTGTGGGAGAGCCTTGCAGAAGGAGGGTAAAACCAGACATAGCCCAAGAGCACACATAATTCCTAAGACTTTCTGGCCATGCCAGACCATTTCACCGCTACTGAAATTTTGGCAAAATTAATAATGTGAAAAATACAGATGTACTGCCATACTCATATGCCATCGTTATATAAATACATAAAGGCAGGGAAGTATTCTATTCAATTCAAACCTGTTTGCTGGAAGCAGATTTCATCTTGATCAACTTTGAAGAGATATTTTCTCTTATAAGCAAGGCTTTAATAGTTAAAAGAAAAACACATTTGACTTACAGCTCATTACTGAAAGTTAGTATATTGCTTTTCTTCCAAGGATGAAAAGAAACAGATTATTAAGGAAACTTAAAAGCATGAATGTCCTCTTTGAATCTTGCTGAGGGGTGAATATTGAACGGCTGATTGCACTTAGTATTTTTTCACTTATCTTTTTAATAGAATTTTTAATTGACCTTTTAATAAAATGATGACACAGAACTATCTTAAAATCACTTTCTCCATTGCTAACTTCCATACATCTGGCTTTTATTTCACAAGGAAGAGAAACTGATAGAAATTGCAGGATCCTGGATCATCACAAACTTGCATACTCAGGGCTATACAAACTTCTGAACACTTTTAATTGATAATGTAAATGAGCATTTCACACAACATTTATTAATTGAAGGTGATTCTTATCTGCATCCGAACAGGCCAAGTGAGATGGCTGCAAATGAGACTTGCACCTGATTTCTGCAATGACCTTAGTGGCAGGTATACAGGAATTCACAGTCTGCAAGAGCTGGTGCTGAAGCTGTGAAACTCAATTCTTAGGTAAACAAACCATGTGATGGGGAAGTGTCTGCAACCCCTAAAGGCTGTTTACCACAGATCACTATGTATCTATGACCAAATGTGTCTGGCCAACTCTTCTGCAGTTCAGCAGTTGATTTTGGAACAGTGCAGATGTTCACCTCTTAAATGCAAACTGAAACCCTGAAAGCTGGAAAATTTCCTGAGCCAAAAAGCCTTGACAGGATATGATGAGGTCAAAAGACAGGAGTTTGCTGTTATAATGCCTACTCTTTTTTCATTATCCCTGCATTTTCTGCTCCTTCACATCATCTGCCCTAATGATTTAATGTAAAAGACTTCTTAATTTCTTAATGCACAGCTTGATAACTGTGTTTAAAACAGCCTTTCACATTGTCAGCCAGTCAAATTCATGCACTCTTTTCAAATTTTATATTTAAATCCCTTCTGGTCCGTGTTCTTTTGCAACATCCTCAGCCCCCTGTCAGTGACAAGGGGAGTGGCTCAGAGGCTTTCAGCATCCCTGTTTTCAACATGCTGTTTGTCCTTTTGACAGCAGTAACACAGCTGCAAATGGACTACCAGTGAAAATAGAAAAGTATTCAGGTGCTGAATTCATTTTCAGTTAGAACTGGACACATGAATAGCCAGAAAATATTACCCAAAGCATTTTGTGCAGCAAGCATGTGAAAAAGCACAGAAAAGACATAAAGAACATGGATTTCTGTCTAGCATACTCAGTATTTCCTTCTTTTATAAATACCCTTGGAGACTTCATTGTTCTCAGCATCCTGTTTGAAGGGGATGCTGTTCTAGGCAGGGAAGCTGTAATTTTGTCAGTCATTATTTCATTTTCTCTGAAATAATGACATGACGCTTCAAAAGCAGTTGTGAATAAACGTCAGAATTCTTTTGCTGCATACAAACAATTCTAAACTCCCTGCAAGATGTTACAGAAATAATTAAAGAAGTTTGGCATGTATTTAAGAGTACAGGAGTGAGTGAGGTGCACACCAGAGGGCTGTTTCTGTAACTCAGTACTCAGGTTTACAGCAGCACATGTTCCTCATTTCAGTGGGTACATATACCAAGGATGCTTCTGCCTAGACCCATAATCTGGCAATGCTGAACATGTTATTAACAATATTTGCTGATGACTCACATCCAGGCACCAGCCCTCCACTCATGATAAGCAACCAAAGCATAGGGTGAGGCAAATGCATTCACATCACATCAGAATGATAATTCTCAATTTTCTTTCTGACTACTAGAGGCAGTCCTTCTGCCTGTCCATGTCTAAAATATTCTCTACCTAAAAAATATGATCTATTTTTAAAGGACTAATATACTGAGCAGTCCTGATCACTGAAAAGTTGATCATAGCTATTGGTCAGTGACAGAAAAAATAAGCAAATTCACTTGACTGAACTATGGCAAAAGGGCTTATTTGTGGTACCTCTGGAAGTGGTCCAAAATGCAGAATTGCAAAGCAGCTGTGCTTTTGTTCTGCCCACTTATGTTAGCTGTGGACTGGGGGCAGCCAGGGAGGAGAGAAGTTTAAAGCTATTCCACTCATCCACTGCTGTGGGTCCATGGATCCACTGACCTGACACACACTGTTCTATGGTGCAAAAAGCACCTCCAGGCAGGGGAACCAGTAGAAGATCTGTGTATTTTCCCTGGACAATGAGAAAAGGCAATATCTTACAGAGCATGGAGTCTGAAATATAAAGCAGTTATTTTGTTGAAGAATCCAATACTATATAAAAGACTTTATGAACTAACTTAATTTAGGAAAATCATTGCCATGTATTGCAGCTGGAGAAGGATGACACTTTCTTTTGAGATCTCTCTTCATTCTCAGATATGAGAAGGATTTATCTCAAAAGCTTGAGCTAACTATTTTTTCAGTCCCATTTGCATGTCTTTTTGCTAAATTTGGTTTTAGGGATGCAAGTTTGAAGGTAGTATCGCCTATTGTTAAGTAGAAGCATATAATTGGTGAGTGAAAGGAATTCAGCGCTACATAAACTGTGCAAGGGTAACTGAATAGGAATCCGTGGACAACCTCAGCCAAAAAGCTGTAGGGCCTTTGCAACAAGAAAGTCTGTGTACCATCTCACTTTGTCAGCAAAATGAGGTTAACTGCTCCAACACTACTGAGGGTGTTTTGCATAGGAGTCTTATGTGTGCACTTCCATTTTAAGGATTTTCTACCTCACAGCTCCTTCGCAACAGCAAAAAACACCTTTTGTCCAGGTTTGTTCAAGGTATCTTACCAGTGGAGGCAAAACTGCTTCCAGTAGGATGCAATGCTATAAGCAGCTCAGGTGTTGGCCTCTGGTCACAGAAAAGGGAGAGGAAAAAGGGGGCAGAAGTGGGACAAAGCTTCTGTCCCTGGGCAGACAAATTTCCTGCTGCCCTGAGGACACTGCTGCTCTTCAGTCCCAGATCTGCCTGGGCTGTGCACCCTCTGGGCTCCCAAAGGCAGCAGCCAGTTTGGCTCTCTGGGCTCTGACATGGGCAGTGGGCTCAACTCCTTTACTATCCCACATTTTGCTTCACTAAATAATTGCCTAGTTTGCTTAGCTCCAGGCTAAGTGATTACTTCAGAATCATCACTTACTGCTCTGCCTGTGGCAGGACTGAAGGAGAGAATAAAGGGTTTTTTTCCTGACTAAGAACTCATCTGAAAAAACAACCCTCTAGTCCTTTACATTCAGCAGTGACTCACAGGGATGCGATGACTACACAACTGACAAGTCACCTTAATCATCCCAGCTGTAACAGCCTTTGTGTTGCTAAAAGAGGCTTAATAATGCTATTAAAACTTGTAGTGTGTGCTAAAATTTGTAGAACACTGTACCAGGGCTGCAGAGCTATGATTTTTTTTTTTTTTTTTGCAGAGTCTGAATGACACAAACCTAAATGAGGAAATGAAATGCAGCACCACGGTGGCTCTTTTGCCACAGAGAGCAAATTTCAGAATTTTCACCCCCTAGGAGGGGATAATGTTTCAATTTCTGGTTTTGTCACAAAATGATTTAAAGAAAACCAAAAACGAAAACAACCCCGAGATTAAATTATTTATTCTTATACAAAACAAAATGTTTACTTTGGTTTCTTACACTCCTTGGAAATGCACAATTTCAAAATGGAAAGCAGGCAATTCCAAAATGTCAGAAATCAAACGAACAAGGCAGAAGGTCAGCTTTGCTGAACAGGCATCTTCCTTTGGAAAAGGAAAGTGTGTGCCCACTGTAAGCAAAGTCAGGTGACATGGGAAGAATACTGAACCACAGCTTGCCAGTGTAGGAGAAAATTCATACAGCCAAAGATCAACTGGAGCTGAAGCTGCCCAGAAATGTGTGAGAAAAGAAAAAATTATTTTGAATATATTAATGGCAAAAGGTAGCATAGAAATAACATCACCTGTTACAGGATGTGGATGGGCACCTCACAAAAAGGACATGGACAAAGCAGAGGTGTTTAATGCATTCTTTGCCTCTGCCTTCAACACAGATGATGGACCAAGAGGGTCTCAGTGCCCTGAGCTGGAGGACCATGGCTGTGAGAATGTTTGACTCCCAGTAGACCCTGAAATTGTGTGAGATCTGCTGCTTCAGCTACAAATCCTACAAATCTATGGGGCCTGGTGGGACTCATGTAAGAATCCCCAGAGCTATCTGATGTCATTGCAAAACCTCTCTAGGTGATTTTTGAGTGGTATTAAAAATCTTGTGGTTCTCTGGGAAA